TCATTTCAAACAACAATCCGGACCAGTCTGTGATTATGGACTTTTTCACCCAAGTTAGAGGTCATTATAAATTGTGATAAAAATTATGAGCAAACTAGACACATTTTGTGAACTCTCAGAATTTACGGATCTAGTTTTTGACTTCGTATGATTTTTATATGATTTTTCCAAAACAGGGCAGAATTGCTAAATTTTGCCAACAGCATGTAAATATCATAACACTTTGTATTATGTTGAGCAAAGTGTGTAATCATAAGTTCTAATTTTTGAATGTGTTTCTTTGCTAGTTTATCATTATGAACTGAAACTAAGTCATTCATATTAAATATTATTCATTCATTTAGAACACGTATTATGTAACTATAAAAGTATAGTTGATAAATTCACAACACTAATACATTTCCATAAAAGAATTCATACATATTAGATACATTTTAGATAAACTATAATAGGTATAGTTTGTGATACATCACTCAACACACTCTATACAAAAAGGGGTACAAATATAAAGTACCGGGTCTCTATACAAAAAGGGGTACAAATACAAAGTACCGGGTCTCTATACAAAAAGGGGTACAAATGCAAAGTACCGGGTCTCTATACAAAAAGGGGTACAAATACAAAATACCGGGTCTCTATACAAAAAGGGGTACAAATGCAAAGTACCGGGTCTCTATACAAAAAGGGGTACAAATACAAAGTACCGGGTCTCTATACAAAAAGGGGTACAAATTCAAAGTGCCGGGTCTCTATACAAAGTTATTATGATATTAAAATTTTACTTCCTCTAGAATGGTTAGACTTCAACTATAGTCGTTGAGCGTATGTGTTTGAGTCATATAAGAATTTAGTCTTGATTGGCCTAGAATTGGTGGTGCCCGCCTCATCTCCTGTTCCTCGTTGGGTTGTGGACCTAGGGCAGACCCACTATATTCAACGTTTTATCTAATGTAAATCTTATATAACTTATATACACTGGACGATTATAGAGGAACTCTACGGGTCATTCTTGGGTTCATTAATGCATCATATAGGAATATTTCTATTCATACTTAACTAAGAAAATATTGGATTTTCTGGAAATCAAACTATATCGATTTTACAAGGAAAAGCGGTTTCTACTTCAAACAAAACTCTTATGAACTCACCAACCTTTGTGTTGACACTTTTTAAAACTACTTGTATTCTCAGGAAATCAGTGAAACAGGAAAACTTCATCGCTTTGAGGATGGGACGTTAAACCGTCAACAAATTTATTTTGTCATCATAATGTAATTGCTTTTGAAACATGTAAACATATACTTTGGTGTAACTTTTGCAATTATATTTATGGTGGTTGTTTTTACTTTGAGCACTATTATACACATTGTTGTGATACTGTACATGAAGTCCTCCACCCCCCAGACGTTTCCGCCATCCTTGGTTTGGGGGTGTGACACTATACGTGTCGTTATCTTCCTATGTGAGTCTTTATCACCATACTATAACAAAGATGCCTGCTACGACGTTCTTCAGGCGTCAGAATTGAAATGAAATTTGTCACCCCCCGATCGGCCCATCGGGTTGTTGCAAGTAGCAATGTGTGTGGGTTGTCAATCCCAATATAGATATATACACAATTATCACGCTCTCCCTACAAGAGACTCTGTTTATAACTATTTCAGGAATTTTAACCCATACTCTAAGAGTACAATGAAGACGTGTCTCACAATTTATGATAACGAGTTTACGTGTAGTATGCGTGTAAAACCTATTACGTGGAGGAATTGAAATCCCCTTTCATGTATTAAATTTGAAATGTGAAATCCATAAACTATACTCTTTTATAATTTATCATGAGGTAAACAAAAACCCGTTTGTATTGAGAGTAAAACCTTTTCTGTGTAAGTAGAATGTATAGCAAAACATAACTATATTTATTATGTTTCGTCTTGTATTGTTTGTAATGATAAATGACTCTTACAATTTAGTAAGTAACTTTTCTATGATATAAGTGTAATTCAATAGAATACACAAGTAAAATATGAAGTAATCAAAGATAAACATTTTGATCAACATGTTACAAAGTGTTATAAAACTTGTAAGTTGTTTAACTAGTTTTTAGCTGTTCTGCACTGTTTTAGAAAAATCACAGAAAAATCATACGAAGTCAAAACTGAATCCGTAAACACTGAGAGTTTGGAAAATGTGTCTAGTTTATTCATAATTTTTAATATGACTTTTAGAAGTCTCTAACTTGTGTGAAAACGTTCATATTCAAAGACTGGTCTGAAATCGTAGCTACAGTGATAGATAGTTTTGTAAAAATCACCATAAATTGTAGAAAAATCGTATGAACATGTGCAAGTAGTCATTTTAAAGTTATAAATCTGAAATACTTGAATATTAAATATTTTTGAAAGATTTTAAGTTTAAGTTGATCAAAATAGTCCGTGAATGGAACTAAACTTTCCTGTGGAAAGCTGATGTTTGAGTTTAGTTAAGTTTTTGGTAATTTAACTTGTATTCTCCCCCTAAAACCTGGAGAAAACATGAAAATGTGGGGGTACGAACTCACCTTGAGTGATTCCCTGAGATGAATGTTTAAGAAAAGAGGTTTCCAAGCCAAGAACACTTGGAAGACGCTTGAAGATTTGTAGATCCTAAGAACAAATATGTTGATATTTGTATGAGAACACTTGGAAGACGCATAAAGATTTGAAGAACCAAGTGTCTCGAAACGAAGTTGGTCGAGTAGGGAACCGAAGACAGGGTGGAGCGAACCAAACCGGGAGTGATTAGAGCCGAACCGAAAGTGGGTTCGGTCCCGTAAGTAGCTTCGGTCTTATGCAGTTTGGTCATAAGGGAGCTTCTGTCCAATGAGGTTTTTCGGTCTTATTAGGGTTTCGGTCTAGGGGCTCGGTTCCATTAGGGTTTCGGTCCTATGAGAGACTTCGGTCCTTAAGGGCTGTTTTTCAAATGAACTTCTCGTTTCGAGTGATTTTTGACCAAATTAAGGGTCGGGATGCCCTGAGTGATTATAAAAAGTTAAGAGAGGTTATTAGAGAGATTTGAGAGAGATATGGGAGAGATTTGGGGGAGAGAGAGATAGAGCGAGAGAGATTGAAAGAGACTTTGTTTGTAACCTTTGCGAGTGTTTAGCTTTGAAATGCAAGGTTTGTAAACCCCATTAAGCCTCATTATGAGTGTTATACGTTGCCGTAGGGTTTGTAATATTGTTTTATCGAGTAGTTCCATCACTTACCCTGATTAGGGTTTAGATTTTCCGAACACGTGAAGACTCAAAGTGATTCTTTGCATTAAGATAGGGTGTTGTACAATAGTAAACATAATGTAATCCCTAATATACTAGGATTAATTGAGTTGGCCGGTTTAACTTGTTGACTTTATTTGACTTTGACTAGACCGGAAGTCGACAGTTGTCACAAAAACATATAAATATTTGTGGGATAAACAAATTTTTACTTGTATTCCCCCCCCCCCCCCCTAAAACATGAAAAAGCTTGAAAGTATGAGGGTATGAACTCACCTTGAGTGGATTTTATGGGTTGACCGAGAAGATGGTGTGAAGATTTCAAGCCTAAACACTTGAATATAGTTGATGAGCTTCTTCGTATCGTTGGTATCCTAAGGTTTTTAACACATAATAATATATGTGTAAATCTAATGAAATTAACATAAAAGTGTGTAAATATTCTACATTTGAGGGAATACTTACCAAAATCTAAGAGTACACTTAAATATTTAAACCCCTTTGAACCTTGGAATTGATTTCTTGAGAGGAAAAGAAATTTATAGAAAGCAGAATGGAAATTGGTGATAATTAGGAAGTAGAAATGAAAGTGGTGGATGGATTTATGGTGAAATTGTTCTTAAGATATGGAAGGGAATTGATTTCATGTTTACTTGGGTGACTGGTGGATAATACACGAATATACGTTGTGTATTGTTTTGCTTTGGAAAATGATGAATCTCTCACTTCCCTAAGTCAACTATTCTTATCTATTTCCTTCCCTTAGACCGAAATCATGTTTGTATGAGATCATAAGTGTGATTTCTGCCAAAACAATGACCCATTAAGGGTGTTTTCGGCTAAAGTGTGGTGCATTGAGGTGATTTTAGTCCTAGCTAGGTGTTTGTTTTGTGGTTAATTTCGGTCAGGGGGTCCCCTATGGAAGGGTTTTCGGTTAGAGTTTCACCCACTAAGAGGCGATTTCGGTTCTAGCCTTCCACATGTTGATTTCGGCTTAGGATGTTCTAGGGTGGGTGGGGTACTAGGTTTAAATACTAATAAACAATGTTTTAAATCCATGATTCATATTCCAATTTATCTATGTAATTTTTCTTTGATAAAACTTGTTTACTTTCAAGAGGTTATCTTAAATATGATTTCCAAAGTGTATATACCTATATACATGCACTTATGCTCTTTTGGTTTTCAAGGTTATAATTTAGACCTTGCTTGATCCAAATCTTTCGAGCTGTCACAATCACCCTGACGAAGTCGTATATTTTGTTGTAAAGTCGTATATTTTATATGTATAATCTCAATATTCGATGAAAAAAATGAACTAAATTTACCCCATAGCGTATTCTTTTACGTTGTCAAATTTATATGTTTCATGTCATCATAATCTGCATGACCCCGGCGAAGATCTTTCTAGATCCATATGTATATACATATCATTATAGACTTTATGTAGAAAGGTACATAAGAACAAGGTGATGATTCGCATACAACATTTTTTAACCATACATAACAATTTATGCATTATAAAATTGTATAATAAACTATCATTTTGTAAAATTAATGTATAAAGTTATAGATCAACATAATTAACCTCCAACAAATACATATATAATCACAGCTGCCACCTTTTAAACAAAATGAGATACAAAAACAAATACGGATACCCATATCAAATATCTAACTTAATAACACTGCTTCGTGTTAGATATGTATATAATATCTACAGAAAGAAAAAACAATGTCAAATAATCTAACACCGAAGGTTATCACCTGGTGCAACACCAAGTTGATCACAATACCGACTATAATACCGGACACGAGAACTTATAGTGTCCGGATTCCCACCATCACATTCCATTCCATTAATGGCTCGAATAGTGGCTCCAAACCCTTGGCCAGAAACTAAGACAGATTGAACGTTGTTCATCCAAAACCACAATGCAGTTCGAAAGGCAATGACTGGATCTGTGGCCACAGTTCCACGATTGTTTAGTCCGTCGAATCCAATGCTCCTCCCTGCTGGACCGTAGTTATAGTTCCATGAGAGTTGAATCGGACCTCTCCCATAGTAACCCTTGCTAGGGTTACCTGGGTATTGAGTATTAGTTTCGTCACAATAATCCCTTGAAGGACCATTTATTTCTTCGATGTAACAAAAATCAGGTCATTGATGCAAATTAAAAGTTAAGCAGACTAATCATTTTTTGAACTTCAAGTTTTCAAAGAGCGAATAGTTTACACTTATTTTTATTTATACAACAACGTTTTTTTTACTAATTTTTGTAAAAAAGGTTTTTGACATGAATTATGTATGAATTATGTATAGCATTTAATATTTATGAGTATATTAATATTTTATACAAAATATATTGCATGTAAAAGTTATAAAAACTCTTTAATAAAGTAATTTTATTAACAAATATTTAGATGATAGTTTTGATTCATCGTTAACCATATAACTGGTGCACCAAAAACCTAATTCTCTGGTACGAACTCGTATATTTTATGCAAAAAATAAGAGATGAAATCGTGCTTATATCTACAGTTTAAAACTTTAATTTTTGTATAAATTTTGAAAAACTGAAATGTCATTGTCTTACAAGTTATGCAGTTATCGCGGTCTAAAATCTTATAGCGGTCACTTGGCGTGATTTAAAATAACGGTTCTCGCAGTGGGGATATCGGTGAGATAGCGGTTTTTTAAATATTATATATATATATATATATATATATATATATATATATATATATATATATATATATATATATATATATATATATATATATATATATATATATATATATATATATATATATATAAGAAGAAGAAAGAGAAAATGTAAAACCAAATAACCAAATTAAAAAAATCCAAATATCAAATTGTCAAATGTACAACAATAGAAGTCGTCGATAGCATAAAGGGAAATACCGAAAATAAATGATATTGGGAAAATAAATGACATTGGGATAAGAATATTACAGATATTGGGTTGGTCCACATGAAAAAAGAAATTTAAAAAAAATCAGCAAAAAGGTCCAATAACGTGAATAGCGGGATAAAAACGAGATCTCGGTTTTGAAATCGCGGTGAAATTGAGCCTTATATCGCCGAGAATCTCGGAACCGCTATTTATGACCGCTGTTTTTAACCGCAATTTTACATACCCCGCGAAACGCTATCCCACCGACACCGAGATCTCGGCGCAATTAACTGCCCAGCTTACAAGAAATCTACTTAATTAATTTATACCTTATATAATTACATCTATTACCTAATACATTTCTTTTAGAGAAAATTACAAAAATAACTATTTGCACTAATTACATTACAAAAATAACAAAAAAAAAACCGAAGTTGCAAAAATACCCTTGAATTTCGCAGATGGAATAGTCTCATCTGCGAAATGGGCTTCCCATCTGCGAATGTACAAACAGCTAAAGCACAGTTGTGCTTTAGCTGCTTGTACATTCGCAGGTGGTTTTTTTTTTCTCTATATATATTAAAAATGTAGGGTAAAATCGCAAATGGAATAGCTCAATCTGCAATTTACTCTGATTCCATCTGCGAATTTGTGATTTTTTTTTATTATTTATTTATTTATTTTAGTTTGACTATGAAATCAATTGATTTGACTACGAAATCATGTTGCTATATAAAAAGTTTTGTAGAAAATTATTAGTTTGTTATTTGTTTAGGAAGTTTCTCTAAAATTTGCTCTAAAAAATGATTGAATATTTGGTTTGTCTTGTAACCCGTGACATCCCCAAAATCTCGGCCAGAAAAAACCAGTTTCATTTATGCTTTTTAAACATTTTCAGAGTAAATCCTTTTAATTTTAAAAGATATGCGGAATTTGTTCCAAAAAACAAAACATGATAAAATAGATATTTATCAAAACATTTCGTAAAGAAATATGATTTCATTTCATAATCAAAAGTCGGGATGTCATGTTCCGATACAGATCATAAAGCATAAACGATAGCATTACAAGTCGTTCAACAAATATAGCATATACATACTTGTAAACAAAACAACTTGATGATTCGTCCATCTTAAGCTCTTGCGCCACTTCCTATAATACAAATAAATTGAGTGGGTCAGGCTTGAGAGCCTGGTGAGCATATAGGGTTTTCAACCCACAATATTTATATTTAATTTCAACAATCCACAATAAACCCAATTACCATTCCCGTTATCCTCACTTTACGTCCCTAAAATGACATATATTATAACGAACCTAATTTAGGATTTTCATCGGGACGGACATTACTGTAGAGGAGCTTCCTCAACAATAAGTGTCCTAAAGGCAACCATGTGGGGGATAGAGTACACCGGTGAACATGTCGTTCACAACACCTACAGGTAATGAGCCTGCTAGTGTTCCACAGGATAGTCTAGAATAGTCTGTGGTCGTCATCCATACTCTGCTGAATGACTTATAATAACACCACTAACACCAAGGCCTCTCATCTGTTTATTACACACCAATTATCTACCCATGTTCTACCCAACATATTAGTAGATAAAAATATACAATTTTTTTATACATTGTTTAGAAACCTGTATAACATGCTTTAATCAATACATATTCCACATAACAGATGAGGCATACACACATAACACGTATTTCATAGAGATACATCAGATCTATAGGATAGAAGAGAGTGAATATACACTCACACGTATAACAACCAAATATATACACATAACACGTATTTTATATAAAATACTTCATAATATTGCGTTGGAATGAAAATAACTACACACTCACTTGATCAGAAGATGATCGGGCAGCACTACGGCTTGTAGAAGAGGTGTTTCTCTATAGATATCGAAGATCTTCACAAAACCATGCTCCTCGCGGGCAGGGCTTCGGCTCGGGAATAACGCTCTTCGGGATCCTCGGGGCTTCAGATCTTACTTCGGGGCTCGGGAATATTATCGGGGCTTCGGGGTACAAACGGCACGCAAATCGAGGAAAAACTAGAGAGAGGAAAGAGTTTGAACAAGAGAAAATGGCTGATCTTGGTTTCTATTTATAAGCTGGGGGTCTGGGATTACGCTGGGCGTAATCTCAATTTACGTTGGGCATACTCAGTACGATGGGCGTAAATTGGTTACGCTGGGCGTACTTTGACGTCACTGCATGCGTTGATCGGTGGCACTCGAGTATTGGTCAAACAAGTTGCATCGTCCTGAGTACGCGGGGCGTACTCAAATTACGCTCAGCGTAATTTGACTCGTCAAACTTCTAAATTGCGTAACTTTCGCATACGAGCTCCATTTTCGACGTTCTTTATATCCACGCATAGGTCAGACCATACTCTGCAACTTTCATTTAGACTCCGTTGGCTAGTTTTGACTTTTATTTTTATTATTTATTTTTAGGAGGCTGGGAGAGAAAAACTTCGTTATAAATTCATAACTTCTTCGTCCGACGTCCGTTCTCGCCTAGCTTTTTATCGTTTCGCTACTAACAACGAGATCTTCAATTCTCGTTTAGATTGTTTCAGCTAAAAACCGTTCGATCTCAAATCGAGTATTCGGGCTGCATACTGCCACGTCGAAACTTCAGAAAATCATAACTTCTTCATATGAAGTCAGATTTGGGCGTTCTTTTTATGCACGCTTTCGGTTTAACGAACTCTGCGCCTTTCGTTTAGAATACTAAGGCTAAATATTGCTCTAACGTAAATTTCACTTTTTACGTCGTTCAGCGTTGCCGGTTCTGTCGCGAAACTTCAACAGGTCATAACTTCTTCGTTATAACTCGGATTTCGACATTCTTTATATATTCGGAAACCTCATTTCAACTACTACAACATTGTCCAAAGATATCAAGTTTATTTTATACTTAAATTTTGACGCTCATTTTATTCTTAATTAATCATATCACATAATTAAGCAATTAAGCACGAAACACATAATACTCAAATAATACGTTCTTATTATTTCAAATTAGGTTACAAAGGTTAACCTAGACTATTACATTGCTAAAAATGGCAAGCCCAGAAACACGGGCGTTACATAACCGGTGGGAGATGGCAAGTTAATGGAACTAATCTGGAATACGTATGTCCACATGGAGGTATTTCTGAATTTGCTTTGATATTTTCTGAGTATATTAGTTATAGTGATTTTGTATCTTTTGGAAAGGGAACTTCCCTAACGAGGGTTTCCGGGCCAGCTTTCGCGCACCGACTAATCCCCTGCTGCAAACATAAAGCTTTGCCTCATGCCCTGGAGTCACTGCAGGCGAACCTCCATGGCCACAAGGGCTGAGTGGTGCCAGGATTTGAACATGGGTCAATAGGTTATCCACCATATCTTCCACATGCCTTACCAAGTCACCACAACCCAAGTGGTTTGATTTTGTATCTTTGGTAAGAAGCAAAATTGGTTTGTTAGACAACTATAGAATTAGTCTTCGTTTCCACCACCCTGAATTATATTATTATATAGCTATAGTTGAAGACATGGATGTTAGAATGTTGATAAATGTAATCAAATGTAGTGGAGGAAGGGCTGTGAAAGTGTTTGTGGTGGTTGATGAAGTTGAGGAGGTTAATGGGGGTGGTCAAACTAGAAATCAGCTTGTTGGTAATTTATGCAGTTATAAAGGGAGCGACGATCCGATATGTACTTTCAATACTCCTAGTGTACCTCAGTTTCACAGTGTTGCTGAAAATGTTAATGTTAGTTATTCACCTATTCACTATGTGGATCCTGAGATTACAAGTCTGTTGGTGATGATGATGTTGGTGCATATCTTAATGATGTGGGTGGTCATTGTGATGATGTTGCCGAACAAGAAGTTAAAGTTATGAATAAGCGTGTGGTAGATAAAACTAAAAAGAAAAAAAATTCAAGTCAAAAAAATGAAAAAAAGCATGTTTACGGGCATTATGTTGATGTTGGTGATGTACGTTTAGATATAACCGAGCTACAAAGCAATTCCGATAAAGATGAGTTGGGTGATGAAATTAAAGCTAAGTTTCCCGATAACCTTTTTCACGGTATGCCCCTTGTACCAGTATGCCCAGTTGATATTAATGAAGATATCCCAACACAGATGGTAGACATGAATCTTCAAAAGATTCAATGTGAGAGTATATTTAAGAACAAAGAACTTTTAAAGCGGTGTATTGGTAAAAAAAATGTCTTCGAGAAGGTTTCCAGACGAGGACAAGTAGATCCACCAAATCAAGGTATGAAGTTGTGTGTGTTTCGAAAAATTGTTCTTGGTTACTAAGAGCAAAAGCAATTAAAAATTTTGAGGGACTTTTCCAAGTGAATAAATTTGTTGATGTACACACATGTTCTTCAACATTTTTGCAACCTAATCATCGACAAGCAAACAAATATGTTTTGGGTGAATATGTTGCAGATGTTTTGGTTGAAGACTATAGTAGAGTTTATCGGGGAAAAGATATTGTTAATTATATGAATGCTCAATTGAATATCAATATCTCATACCATCAGGCATGGCGTGCGAAGCAATATGCATTGTTCTCAGCAAAAACAAAACCAATCTTGTGGCACCCGATCCAAATTCTCAGCCAAACTTTTAACATAAACAAAATATACCTGTTCCAGATATCCAAATTCTCAGCCAAAAAAAACCAATCTTGTGGCACCCGATCATTAATTTCTTTTCCCAAAAAACCTTCACACAAAATGTATATCAAACATACTCTAATTGCATCAACGTCGTCAACTTCTAAGAATGTTCGATTTAAAATTAAACGTTTCAGGTCGCCAATTTTCATCGAACTATTGGTATGGTCCGGAAATAGCCGCTCACGCAATAAACATCTTTTTTTACTAGTTAATAATTTTTCTGACGCTTTTTTCCCGATGTTTTTTGGATACTCCCCAAAATTGAAGCCGGTTATCAAACAAAACTCTTCCGGCCCATAAACCATTTTCGTATTGCCTACTCTAAAATATAATCGTTTTATTCCATCTGGAGATAAAACAGGGTCCGACCGGATCTGATGAAGGAACATTTTATGGAACAACAATCCGTCCCTTTGTAAACGAGAGACATCCATAAAATAATCAAATATAGTATCTCTAAAAATGGTTTGCCTGACACCATCTAAAACTTTAAATACTTCCTATATATTACCGTCCGAGCCTTTTAAGTTTACGATTGCTTTCATATTGATAAAATTAAAATCATGCTGCAAAAAAAAGCACAAAAATAAATTAGAGAACTAAAAATTATTTTTTTTAAAAAAATATATGATTATGAACTACAATAAGTACATAAACAATAATAATTTTAGTAATGCAAATACAAATTCTAAATTAATAATTTATATATTTACGATAAAAAACACTAACATACACATATATAAACAATTTTCCAAGTTATACAACAAATATATTTACGATAAAAAAAACAATATCATACATAAATATATAAACACTTTATTAAACAAATTTTCAACTTAAAAGACAAATATATAAACAATTTTGATCTTTCTAATTATATAAACTAACATTTTATAACCATATAAACAAACAAATTTTCAAATAAAACGACAACCAAATTAATAATTTTGCAAGTTATACAACAAATATATATAAATTTTCAACTTATACAACAAATACAAAAAATTTCTAACAATATGTATACGACAAATTTTCAACTTATACAAATGTTATACTTATACGACAAATATATATATACAAACGACTATTTTGCACATACTGTAATTTAACTATTTTTCACTTTATATAAACAATTATACGATAAGAATATACAAGTTTTCAAGTTATACAACAACTAAACAAACAATAAAAATAACAAATTGTAAACGTTATTATAACAATTTATTTAACTAATAATTTAAAAAATAGCATATTCTAACCATTTTATTAAATGTAAAACCACCATATGTACACTCTACGCAGTCTCTACTTGTACATTCAAACAATTACTAACAAAATAGTATTTAAAGTTCAAGTATACTAAAGAAATATTAAAACTATCAAACACAACAAAATTACCCTTTCACAAACTTTATAATTTCTATTTTTTACACTAAATAATACAATAAATTATAAAATAATAAAAAGTTAAAACATTAAAAGAGTTAAAATCTAACCATATTTGCGGAATTGTCGACATAATCCTCTATTTTCTTAAAAAACTAGCCAAAATCGCGAAAATAACCCCGAGATAGAGATAGTGTTTGTGTAGAGAAGAGTGAAGAATGGAGAAAAAAAAAACGTTTATATAGTCAAAAAGAGGGGAAATCGCAGATGGGATCCTCATTTCGCAGATGGGGTTTTCCATCTGCAAATGTACAAGTAGCTAAAGTACAGTTGTGCTTTAGTTGCTTGTACATTCGCAGATGGAAAGCCCATTCCGCAGATGGGGCAATTCCATCTGCGAAATTGAGTGTTATTTTTGCAATTTCAATTTTTTTTGGTTATTTTTGTAATGTAATTAGTATAAATGACTATTTTTGTTATTTTCTCTCTCTTTTAATAAAGAGTAAATTACAAGAATGGTCCCTATGGTGTAGGGTAATTTGTACGTTTGGTCCCTAACTTATTTTTTAAACTCAAAAGGTCCTTACTGTTTGTTTTTGTTACGCGCTTGGTCCCTCTCTTAACTAAAAAGACTATTTTACCCTTAATTTTTTAATTTATTTAAATAAACACATTCTCAACCCCATCCTCATCACCTTATCATACTTACCCCACCATTTTTTCCTATTTAAATCATAGTCATTTTAGGTAAGATAGGGACCAAGCATGTAACAAAAACAAACAGTAGGGACCAAACATGTAACAAAGACAAACAGTAAGGATTTTCCGAATTAAAAAAATTAGTTAGAAACCAAATATGTAAATTACCCCAAACCATAAGGACCAATCGTGAAATTTACTCTTTATTAAATTATCTTAAAATTTTGATTACGAGGATGAAAGATTGACCTTACGTCCGGTTTCATGGGTGACATGAGCGAAGAAAGCTGCTATCTCCCGTCTGGAATCTTCTTCTGAACCTACTCTACCAAATTGGGGATACTTTCCAACAGCTTCAAGGAAGGCGGCACGTGTATAAAACGCTCGTCCTTCACAACTTGCGTCTGATTGATCCACGATTCCATCAAAGCACGCATCTGTCACGATATTAGCAACCGACACATCATTCGTCGGAGGAGGCCCGAAGCACGGCCCTTCTTGGCAGCCGGTGCCACAGTATGCCTCGTCACTGCCGCAGAAACCAAATCGGCTACAGCATAATCCCGGAGCACAGCCACAGTTCTGGGCGGTGGTGGTGGTGCTAAGGATACCGGAGTAAAGAACTACGGCGAGGAGGAGGAAGAGTGATCAGAGAGTTTCCATTGTAGTTTGTATGGTGTACGTAGTTAGTGGGATTGGAGCTAGACGAGTATTTAAGGTGCGTGTGAGAAAGGCATACCGACATTTCGAAGTGGGTATATGGACAATATCGGTTTCGTTTACTTTGACTTGATGTTTAAGTTGACTTTGTCGATTTTCTTTGACTTTGAAATGTCAAAATCTGAAAAAGTGAAAGGTCATCCTACCATATCTCCTTGTTCTACAATTAAGAAAATTGAGTCGAAGTTTGAAAGGAAACCCACTTCAATTAGAAACACGATAACACGTTGCTGTTCCAGCATCAGTTTCACGGAAATTTTGGTCCAAATCCGACAGTACTAAGGGAAATAGCAATTCTACATTTTTGAACTTTTTTTGCATCTCATTTAATGCTTTTATATAACATAAAAGTTCATTATATAAACATGAGGAAGGAAGTTATATATTTCAATTCATATAACTAATCCACGGCAATACTTCATCATATCCACACTTGGTGGCCATTTTCATCTTTTACTTTTTTTTTCTTGTATAACTTGTTCACGCTTATATCCATTTAAGAAATCTAGTGTCATAAGGCTAGCTAATGGATTCTTAATATCTCTTGCATGCTTTGATCACCAAATTTATGTATCTTAAGCTTGAGTAATTGCCATAAAATCCGAACACTTGATACGCCTATCTTTTAGTAACACCAGTGAAGTCCAAAAATATTCGTACTCATTTTATGAAGCTCTTGTTCATTTTCATATAAGAAATCCAACATTCACAAACTTTTACTTACTACTCGCAAATCATATGAACCTTGACCTTTTTAATCATTAAAATATATGGAGTTTAATATTATACCTTTCATAGGGAGTGTGATTCTTCTCAATCCTTGCTAAAGTTGTATTTTTATATTTTGGTTTCATTCTCTGATATTTAATGCCACTTATTCCTGGAGCACATAATGTGGAAATTGACATAAAATCCTATCTTAACCATATCAAAAGGAATCGGTCAAGCCATATCAATGCAACTTTGTGTGGCCCCACATGACACGTCATTAGTAATTATGGAACACATCCATGTGTTTTGAATATACATCTCTTACTCATTTACGCAATATACTATGCCAATGTTAACTATATGAAGCCACTGTACTTTTGTTTCTTAGCCAAATTGATGCTAAACTTAACTTCCATTCATGTACCTTTATACATAGTGGATCATCCCTTAAGGTCTTCAACACCATTTAGTGATCATGTTGATGCATAAGGTACAACACCTCAATGGACATTTGCCTCTATAGCAACTCATATCAACATGGTCACATACTTTTGCATTATAATTAGTACACCATTTGTGCAACCCAATTTTGAGTATGTTACATGTATAATGTCTTGTATGTTTAAATATATACAAATTAATAGCAACAAAATGTATGCATATAGAGACTTGCATATGTCAAATGTAGCTTTTTTATTAGTTTCCTCTGTTTTGTTGTTGTGAAGTGGTATGTTTTATATGTATACTCTCAACATACAATGAAATGGATGAACTACATATATCTCATAGTGTAGTTTTTGCATAGCTTAATTTATATGTTTCACGCCATCCACATGACCACAAACAAAAAGTCACTAGATCATGACCACTTTGAATTGGTCAGCATTCAACATGTTTGATACATCCTCTGAATGGTTAAGAAGTTACACTTTCACATAACCATTAAGAGGTTGGGATCATTCAACAATTTTATCAATCAACCCTTTAGACTTTAGAAAGAAGTAACAAATTATTCTTTGTAAGATAGATATATAAAGATCTATATCAACATATCAAGTAGCACATATAGATACAAATGCCACATTTTGAACAACTTTGTGGTATCAAATATCTAAATCAATACATGTAATTCATATAATATATAAAGAAATAAAAACACAAAGTCAAATACTCTAACACTGCAGATTATCACCTGGTGCAACACCAAGTTGATCACAATACTGAGTATAATACCGGACACGAGAACTTACAGTGTCCGGATTCCCACCATCACATTCCATTCCATTTATAGCTCTAATTGTCGCTCCAAACCCTCGGCCTAAGACAGACTGAACATTGTTCATCCAAAACCACAATGCAGTTCGAAAGGCAACAACTGGATCTGTGGCTACGATTTCAGGATTGTTTATTCCATCGAACCCAATGCTCCTCCCAGCTGGACCATAGTTGTAGTTCCATGAGAGTTGAATTGGACCTCTACCATAGTAACCCTTGCTAGGGTTACATGGGTATTGGGTATTATCTTCGTCACAGTAATCTCTTGAAGGACCATTTATTTCTTCAATGTAGCAAAAATCTGGTCATGCGTGTAAATAAAAAGTTAATCGATTGATCATTTTCTAAGCTTTAAATTTTTCAATAAGTAATACTTAAGAATTAATTAGGTTGCTTTTACTAAAATACGTTGTCTATTCATGGAAATAACAAATCGAATTAATGTATAATTATTAAAATTGAGAGAACAAATGCTTGGGATTATTCAACTAATAATCCAAAGCAACGTTCTTGCATAAACTTTTTTTTTTTTTTTTTCAATTTTATTCAAAATTTTTTGTTATAATTGTTATTGGCTCTTATAGCATATAACGTAGGACAATAAAAGTCGAAGCATTCATCTCTATAGAATTATTAGTATATTGATTCCTTATTTTTCACCTACAAATTTACTGCATAAACATAATTTTAGATTAATAAAATTAAAATCTAGTTATTGCACTTTAAATTTTATTTATTTTATTATCTAAAATAAAATAGAATTGTTTTTGAGTAACTAAGTGAAAACTACCATCTAGATAGTTGCTAATATTATTTTTTTACAACTTGAGAGTTTTCTAAAACACAAACAATCTATTTTACATAAAATATTAATATAACAAGGATTAAATTCTTTTCATAAAATGTTAAGGTAATAAAATATTAATATAATATTTGATTAGGAGGATGAAAGATTGGGCTTACGTCCAGTTTCATGGGTGACATGAGCGAAGAAAGCTGCAATCTCCCGTTTGGAATCATCTTCAGAACCCACTCTACCAAATTGCGGATAATTTCCAACAGCTTCAAGGAAAGCGGCGCGTGAATAAAACGGTCTTCCTTCACAACTAGAATCTGATTGGTCCACGATTCCATCAAAGAACGCATCTGTCACAATATCAGCAACCGACACGTCATTCGTCGGAGGAGGCCCAAAGCACGATCCTTCTTGGCATCCGGCGCCACAGTATGCCTCGTCACTGCCGCAAAAACCAAATCGGCTACAGCATAATCCCGGAGCACATCCACAGTTCTGGGCGGTGGTGGTTAGGATACAGGCGGAAAGAACTCCGGCGAGGAGGAGGATGAGGGAGACTGTTTTCATTGTGGTTTCAATGGTTTGTATGATGTAGGTAGTGGCTTGTGGACGTCTATTTAAAGTGTGCGTGTGAGAAAATGTAAGCAGACATTTCGAAGTGGGTATGGGGGAAAATGGTTTCGATTCCTTTGACTTGGTATTTAAGTTGACTTTGTTGATATATTTTGACTTTGAATTGTCAAAATGTGGAAAAGTGCAAATGCGCAATGCCATCCCATTTAAGATATCTCCCTTATGACTTTAGCTATATATAACCTTTTAACATCGAAAAATATATTTTTCTTAGACTAATTTATAAAAAATAGCCAAAAAAAAAAAAAAAAAAAACGTCAAATTTTCGAACATGGCCTTTCAAAATGCAGCTTGACGGGCCGTTCTGGTCATCCATATTCAACTCAAAATAGTTTATGTAGCTTATATTTTGATTTTTATTATGATAATGTTATAACTATCAGTTTTTTTTTTTGATTCAATCTCTGATGACTTTTTCGTCTTTTATTTTTTTTATTATTTTTTGTTTTTTTTCCAATTTTGTTTTTAATTATTTTTTTATTTTTTTGTTTTAAGCTTTTATATATATATATATATATATATATATATATATATATATATATATATATATATACACTAGCCGTTTACCCGCGCTAAGCGACAGGTGCGATAATATGGATTTATATTGGTGCGATGGATTGTTGCTATTTGTTTGTGGCATCGAACCTCGACACAAATTTGTTGTTTTCTCGCTAGATTTTATAAATATTTAAGAATTTTTCATTTTGATTGACTTTAACAAAAAAAAAATAACATTCTATACACGTATTAATTTTTATTTTGTATATTGAATATAATAGATATGTTATTAAAAAGATATAAATAAAAGAATGTAATGAAAAAAATAAATTAAAAATATTATTATACTATTATATCTTTTTTAAAAATTAGGTATTTATTAAAATAGTAATAAGTTTAGTTGTCCATTCAAATTTTATTAAGTCACAAAATGGCTATCTTTAAATAATAATTTTAGTTATTAATTTTAGAAAATAATAATAATTCACAAAGAATATATATCATTAAAAATGTTCGTTATCATTTTTATGTACTAATAATATTTTTTATGTATTATATGTTCAACATTTTAACAATAATATATCCTCCTTAATAAATGAATGTTTTTTTGCCACATTTTAATCTGTCATGAGTTTTGACACTTGTCATTTTATTGTAATTTTGAAATAAATATCATCCACTTGTCAATTTTTGGTTTGTTTCAATTTTTAAATTAAAATCATATACTTTTATATGTAAAGTATTAAATATCATATATATATATATATGATATTAAATTACAATAAATACATTTCTTCCTTTCTAATTTTAAAGTTATACATTAAAAAATATTTTTTATTTACATTTTAATGCTTAATTTTTTTTAAATCAACTTGTATTATATACGGGTCTCCCACTTAGTTTCTATAATATATAATGTTTTAATAATAATATTTGTATAATAACGTTTTATTTTTAAACCTTGGAATAGCTTTTCAATTATTTTGATGTGTACTTTTAAAAATCAAGTCAAAATCTAAAATCTTGGATATCCTTTATCGTAAAATTTTGAATATTGTTTGCATATTTGATCAGATAAATAATAATACAATTAAATCGACTTGTGATGCATTTAAAATCACATTCCATGTTTTCTCTAATAAATAATAGAATTCAAGTTTTCAATTATTAATCATCAAGTTTGACATTAAAGAAATTAAATTAATTCTTAAAATATAGTACAAAGTCACTGCAACATGCATTGTTATGTTTAATGCCACTAAACAATAACCACAACTAAATCTCCTTACAATACATTAATCGTGACTAACCTATGAGAAAAAGGCAAATCAAATTGTTACTTATAATACTTTGGAAAGCTTGGTTACCACTAAATGTGGTTGAAGGTTGGTTCTACACAAAACTCATGTTAAACACTAAAAACACTTTGCAGCCTTCCTGGACCTTCAATTATTCTACGAATATACTGCACATCTAGAGTTCCATAATTAGGCTCAACTTGCATCCTCTTCAAGGCAACCAACATTCCTTAATAAACAAATCCAATAATAAAGAAAAATTAAATATTGAATTGAGGAAACCAAAAAGGACCATTTTGCCCTCTATTATTAGACCATGTCTTCAATCTTGTAATTTTTATCTTATAAAAAGTACGTATGTCCAACTTTAAATTTGTTTCCATTTAAGGTACCAATATATAGAGAAAATTGAAGAACACAAACTTGATGTTATTTTTTAGGGTTTAGGTCATTTTTGGTCACTTAACTTTTGGTTTTGTGCTCATTTAGTCACTTAACTCTCTTTAAGTTTTAAAAGGTCATCAAACTTTTGACTTTGTACTCATTTAGTCACTTAACTTTTGTTTTGGTCACTTATCTTTTAGATTTGTGCTCATTTAGTCACCTAACTTTTAAAATTGTGTTCATTTAGTCACTAAACTTTTGAAAAAATTTAAAAGTTTAGTGACTAAATGAACACAATTTTAAAAGTTAGGTGACTAAATTTGACTAAGCCAAAAGTTAAGTGATTATATGAGCTCAAAGCCAAAAGTTTGATGACTTTTTAAAACTTAAAAAGAGTTAAGTAATCAAATGAGCACAAAATCAAAAGTTAAGTGACCAAAAATGATCTAAACCCTATTTTTTACTCAAATGTTGTAATCTTTTCTTGTAAATAAGAAACCCCTCAACCTGATTCTCGACCCTGGCCCATTTTCATGGGTCCGCTTGTCCGTTTTCATCATTTTCTTCCATTTGTATTTGACTTTTACTATAACCAAATTTAGAAAAGGACAAAAGCTCTTTTTGACATGTATCTTTGCTTTCTTTCTCTTTCTCTTTTTTATTTTTTTATTTTTTTAATTCTTTGTAGAGCTTTGGCAACTTCTTTTTAGAATCACGTGAGTTGGGACTGATGTGGTTTCAGACAAATTCCAAGTTCAAGGTCTCATCACATAGGAATTTGAAAAGTAAAACCCTCTACAAAATAAAAATAAAAAAGATAAAAACTTTATACCAAATGATCATCAAATGTAAGATATAGCAATGTGCTTTGTTTATTTGATTAATATAGCATCCTACCCTTGTTTCTTTCTGTTGCAAAATAAATTCTTATTTTTTTCTTATTAAGGCATTGCATTTGGAAAAATATATCCAATTGTAGCAGTGAAAATTGCTTTATGTATCCATGATATTGGTATAATCAGTTAGGTACAGATTTCTATGAACAATATTGCAGTAAGAAGAAATAAAGGTAAGATGTTACAATAAAAAAAAACATAAAACATGGCATTAGGTGTAAAAACGTCAAAAAAAAAGAAAAAACAATAGCATGGTAGTATGAAGAAACTAACATCTGGGTTTGAGGAGTCTTCTAACTTATTGATCTACAAACCACTTCATTATCTATCTTGATAACATGTAGAATCATATTATGTTAAGCAAATTTTGTTAACTCCATATAGAGTGGTTGGTGTGGTCTGTCAGGGTATTAATAATGTCTTGAGAGCAGGGTATTTTTTTTAATAAATTTATAAAAATATGTGTATCACAAAATTTAACAATAAAATTTCAAACCTCAGACCATGTGGTCGGGATTTAAACTCACCCTTATTTAAAGAGAGAGAGAGAGAGAGAGAACCATTGATTTGGATATTTCGATGGTGTTGAGGGAGATGGTATTCAGTGTAGAGAATTGGTGTAGCAAAGTAGATAAATCTAAAACCTTTCCCCATAAACTCATATGTACTTCTTGTTCAATGTTATTCCTTTGTTACTACAGCAACAAATCAAATTTTAAAAAATTAACTGGAGATAAAATTAAATCAGTAAGATTGGGTTAGGGAGTGTGGTAATCAAGATTTATATGTAAAAAACGTTTATAGAAGCTTACATGGTTCCGATTTTGATGATTGGTGCAGGTTCAGCTCACAGGTGTAGAAAGATGAAAAGAATCATGGTTAATGTGAAAGGGATTTCGTTATTCCCACCATCCTTCCCAATTTTTCTCTTCTTATCCATATTTCTAAAGATGATTTCTCCCTTTTTAGCCACCATCCTTCCTCATTCTCCTTAATAAATCAAGGTTTTTTTAACCACTTGTCAATCTCTCATGAGTTTTGACACTTGTCATTTTGTGGTAATTTTGAAATAAATATTATCCACTTGTCAATTTTTGATTTGTTTTAACTTTTTATTAAAGTTATATACTTATATATGTAAAGTATTAAATATCATATATATGATATTAAATTGTAATAAATACGTTTCTTTCTTTCTTATTTTAAAGTTATACATTAAAAATTATTTTATTTTTATACTTTAAGTTTAATCATTTTTTAAATCAACCCGTATAATATACGGGCCTTACACCTAGTATTCAAATGTTTCTTGGTTCCTTGAACACACAAGGATGAGATTATTCATCGAGAAACGAAAATGAAATAGAGGTGGCCGATTTCTAAAGAGGAAGAGTAGCATCAGTTCGATCTAATTAGGGCTCGATAATCAAACAATAAATCGAAAAGAATGTATAAAGAAGAAAGGAACGAAGCATTCAAGTGTTACCTTGCACCAAGAGTCTATAGCGGTCTGGAAGTAAACCAACTAACGAAGGTAGTGCAGGTTGCAAAAGGTCGACATATGTGATGACGATGAGATTGAGTGGAGGTGGCGGTGTAGTGTAGGTTTTATGGAGAACATATGTATAAGGGTAGTGAGACACTACACATTGGGGAAGGGTACGGGATGCGAGAGATAAGTGCCAAAATTTGGGAAGCTTTTGGAATTCAAATCATAAGTCGTAACTAAATTGGCGAAATATCGGTTCATATCAAAATCTGTTTTTGGGTTTTCAAAGAGCATAGAGAGACAACGTTAGCTGGTTGAAGGTGGTGAGCGCAGTGATTCCATATAAAGCGTATTCAAAGTGTATTTAGTGTTGACCGATTCAATCGGTTGAATATAACAAGGGTGACCGATTCCAAATTTGACCGATTCATTTAGTTTATCATTGACTTTTTTACCGGATAAGAT